CAGGAAGGACCAGACCAAGAATTCCATCCTGTCATGTTTCTCAGGAAATAACTGTCTGAGAGGAAAACCCACTGGTCAATCAGTGAAAAGGAATGCTACGCGATTGTGTACACACTGGAAAAGCTACGCCCATACGTTTGGGGGACGGCATTTCCACCTGCAAACCGACCATGCTGCGCTGAAGTGACTTCATACCGTCAAGGACAATAACAAAAAACTTCTTTGGTGGAATTTAGCTCTTCAGGATTTTGATTTTGAAATACAACACATTTCAGGAGCTTCTAACAAAGTGGCTGATGCACTCTTCCATGAAAGTTTTCCAGAATCAACTGGTTAAAATCGTCCATGAAATGTGGAAAATATTGTTAGTTTTTATATAATCAGTAGTATATCTAGAGGTGCATGTGTCTTATTAATTCTGTTTTCTCCTAGAGCTCCAGGAAGAAATCACAGCCATTGTGGAGCAGGCTGTCCAGCACTGTCTATGATTTGGGGGGCGTGTCATGAACATACAGCTAAGGGTAGCATAAAATCCCTCCTTTACCTGTAAAGGGTTAAGAAGCTCAAATAACCTGATTGGCACCTGACAAAAAGGATCAATAAAGGGGAGAAGATACTTTCAAATCTGTGGGGGAAGGTTTTTGTTGTGTGTTCCTTTGTTCTCTCTGGGACAGCCAGGAACCAGGGCAGGGAAAATACAGCTCCTAAAGCCATACCTGCATTTAGCATCTAAGATTACAAATTGTAAGTAATTGGAAGGAAATGCGTTAGATTATTTTTTATTTTAGGTTGTGAATTTTCTCTGTGCTAAGAGGGAGGTTTTTCCCTGTTTTGGTAACTTTAAAGTTTTGCCTAGAGGGGAATCCTCCCTGTTTTGAATCTGATTACTCTGTAAATTACCTTCCATCCTGATTTTAAAGAGGTGCTTCTTTTACTTTTTCATTACAATAAAGTTCTGTTTTTAAGAATCTGATTGCGTTTTTAGTGTCCTAAAAACCCAAGGGTCTGGTCACTAGAGTTTAGAGTGGGGAGGGAACCCTGACAAGATCAAAAGATGGAAAGCTATCTAATTTCATGGTACAGCCAAATCTTTTGATGTTCATTACTTTTCACTGTCACAGGATGCAGCTCATGGAGAAAGGAGATGCGGAAAATCAAACAGATGTCACCGAATTCATTCTCCTGGGGTTTGGGGATCTCCGTGAACGGCAGATCCTTCTCTTCCTGGTTTTCCTAGTGATCTACATTGTGACTATGTCAGGGAACATCCTTATCATTGCTCTAGTTGTGACTGATCAGCACCTTCACACCCCCATGTACTTCTTCCTGGGCAACTTGTCCTGCCTGGAGACCTGCTACACTTCTGCCCTCCTGCCCAGGATGCTGGCCAGTCTCCTGACTGGGGACAGAACCATTTCTGTGGGGGGTTGCATGACACAGTTTTTTTTCTTTTGTTTTCTAGCAACTGCAGAGTGTTATCTCCTGGCAGCGATGTCTTATGATCGGTATTTAGCCATATGCAAACCACTGCACTATGGAATATGTATGAATGGCAAGTTGTGCCTCCAGCTAGCAGCTGGGTGTTGGATAATTGTATTTCTACCTTGTACAATAACGATGTGTTTTATGTCACAATTAATTTTCTGTGGCCCCAATGAAATGGACCATTTCTTTTGTGATTTCACCCCAATGCTAAAGCTCTCCTGCAGCGACACCAGCCAGATGACGCTGGTTCTTTATATATTTTCCTTCCCAGATGCAGTTTCCCCATTTCTATTAACCTTGACATCCTATGTTTGTATCATTAGCACCATCCTGAGAATCCCTTCCACCACCGGGAGGCAAAGGGCCTTTTCCACCTGCTCCTCTCACCTCATCGTGGTAACACTTTTCTATGGGACCCTAATGATTGTCTACATGATACCAAAATCCAGCAACCTGAGAGCCCTGAACAAAGTGTTCTCTGTCTGCTACACAGTCCTGACTCCCCTGGCCAATCCCCTCATCTACAGCCTGAGAAACAGAGAGGTCAAGGAGGCCCTGAGAAAAGCTGTCAGGAAATGTCTGGCCCTCACAAAGAATTCAGACTAGTTGAATGAAATGAGGATCAATCAATCTGGTTTCTATTGTGAAAGAGGGAGGGTCTAAGTGGGTCCTGATACAGAAATCAGTATACAAGAAATGTGTGTGCGTGCACATACACACACACATATATAAATATAAGAGAGATACAGATGGTTGGAATTTTGCAGGGGGAGGAGGGGAGAGAAGATTTTGACTTTTCATCAAAATAGAAAACCTGAAAAATGATTTTTTTTTTCCTTTTTGGCAACTGACATTTGAAAACCTTCAGATGGAAACTGTAAAAAAAAAAAAGCACTGTTGTTCTGGCTGTGTTGGTCCCAGAATATTACAAGACAAGGTGTGACCCTCTGTACCTCAAAATAGCGCCCTGGATCCCCATATTCACCACTGTGATATGATTGGTTTCAGAGTAGCAGCCGTGTTAGTCTGTATCCGTAAAAAGAACAGGAGTACTTGTGGCACCTTATAGACTAACAAATTTATTTGAGCTTTCGTGTTTGTTAGTCTTTAAGATGCCACAAGTACTCCTGTTATTTCT